AATGATTTATTTGCTTCACTATTGGAATGAAGTGGAATAACATGATTATTCTATTAAAATATCTATTGTCACCTTTGATTCACTAAAAAATAATAAAAAATGCACCCTAAATTGAATCATCGTTCACATTATAACAGAATGATAATTTCATACGAAAGTCAGGAATAATTATTTTAACTTGTTTTAGCGAATCAAACAATTCCTAGTTATTAGATTAAGTCCAATAAATTGTACTTTTAAGTTTGACTTGTTTACATAATAAACCGATTTCAAATGAGTTTTTAACGAGTCAAACACAAATTGAGCTTGAGTAGCTTGATTCGTTTAATAACCCTAACTATATAGGGACTTATATTTTAAAATAAATTCCCCATTTAAATGACGTTTTATTGCAAAAATGTCATTGCCACGTCATTTTAGTGATAAATTTTGTATGAATAACAATTTGCTTTCTCATAGTATGGTATGTTTTATTATTTTCTAAATAAAATAAATCCTATACATACACACTATTGTTATTGCATAAGTACATGTAAAAAGGTGAAATAAAATGAGAGAACTATTATTTATCAACGGCTCCATTTCACCTCTTGTATTTATACTATAAAAGCAATGTACATATCTAAAAACAATCATATTAAAAAAGTAGTAAAACTTACCATGTCACATGAAAGATTAGGGGTGTAAAAACAATCGATGAAATCGAACTAACCACCCAAGATCAATCGAACTTTAAGTTTTTGCTGCATTTTTTATACTGGTATTTTATTTCGATTTTGAAAATTTTTACATTAATATAAACTGAAAGATTAGGGGTGTAAGAAAAATCAATGAAACCAAACTGATTGCTCAAAATTGATCAAAATTTTAGTTTTATGTCTGTTTTTCATATTGTGTGGTATGTTTTGATTTTGAAAATTTTTACACTAATATAAACAGAATCAACTGAAATATTATATTTAAAAACTTTTATATTTTAAGTGATTAATAATTCAATTTTTGTAATAAAAATTAAGGAGGGAGACATTTTCACTATTTTTCTTCATTTATTCCCAATGTGGAATTTTACAAGTTTTTATAAATTATTTTAAAATTTCATGTGAATCCTTCTTCTACACCAAATTGACAAAACCAACAAAATTGAATTGTAATATGCGGTTTATTTCAATTATTTAACCACCAAAACTGAAAGGCTCAGTTTGGTGCTAAACTTTCTCATAATCCTGACCGAACCAAACCACTTATACGCTTATAAAAGATGAAGAGTTGAGAAAAAATATTGGGCAAATTACACAAGTAGTCTTTGACACTTATGTCATTTTGATCCTTATAATTTCAATTGGCTCGATTTTGACCTTGAATTTATGATATTGTCTTAATTTGATCCAATTGATTATAAGTGTTAGTGTTTTTTTTATAGAAAATGTGCACATAAGAATATGTGTCATGCTTTTAAGAGTAAAATTATAAATTTAACTAACTCTGTAAATTAACCTCAACCAACTTAGTAATCATTTTTTGACAAAAATCATAATCAGTATTATCAAATGGACCAAATTGACACAATATAAAAAGTCAAGGGTCAAAATCAAGCAAATTAAAAGTGTAGGGACTAAAATGACACGATGGACAAAATTCAAGAACTATCAGTACAGTTTGCTTTAAAATATTTCAATCATATATGACAATTATGATAAAATGATAAAATAAATTTGACGATAAATAACATCACGTGTTCAAAAATTTTTATCCAAGTTAGATAGGGACGTATGTCAATATGTTTTCAGTGCAAATGCTCTTGCCAACAAACGCAGTCATGATCCGACCCCATTTAGATTTTCTTTCTTTCTTCTGTTCAGAATTTTTGAAATTGTAAATAAAAACTTGTTTGTTTACAAAAAAAATTGGTTTCACTTTTTAATTTTTCCCCTCCATTTCTTCCTCTTTCTGCCACCCTTTCCAATCACCACCCACTACTCATTATTACCACCGCTCACCATTGTTAATGGCCTCTTATGCCAACCACTTTCAGCCACCAATCGCCTCCCACTTGTGATAACCACATTCGGTCACCACTGCTTGTTAGAGACAAGCTTTAACTAGCACTTTAGACGACAGAGTGGCTAATATTTCGAACCGTCAATCACTTTCGACCATGACCTCTCACTGTTGGCAATCACTTTTGGCCACCACTAACCACCTCCCACTAGTGGCAATTACTTTTGGCCACTACATTCGGAGGCGAACAACCACATCTGGCCATTATCTTCAACCGTCTACAACTACCTCATGCAGACCAATTCTTTCATTTGTTTTCAAAATAAGTTTTTAAAACACGTATATCAAATTTGCTTTTTGTTTTCATTTTTACCTAAAATAAACATAAACATATTTAATATTTTCTGTAAACTGAAAATAATAAAATGTAAACGTTACCAAACCACATCTAAATCATTCCACCTTAATCTAAAAACACAATTTGAAATATCAGTTTCAAAAAAAAAAAATTTGAGAAAGTGTACAGAATAATTTTACAGGTCCGCGAATTTTTTTCCTCACTTCTAGCACAGTTGAGTATAAACTTGGCTTTTAAGAGCAACTCCAATGGTTTTTCTATTTGCCTTGCCAAAGCCAAAAAATGACTTAGCTTGACAAAAGCACTACTCTAATGGTGTGCCATTTGCAATGCCAAAAAATAGCAAAGCCAAATCAGTTTTACTACCAAAATTAGTTTTTTTTTAACCTCCAATTGTTAGTTTCACAACTTCTACAAATCAAAACTCTACCATAAATTTTAAAAGTATAGTAAAATCTATGAAATTACAAAAACTCAATAAAGATCCATCCAGAGATTCAGCTTTCCAAATTTAATTTGGAACACTCAAATTTTTTGAATACTGGAAAGTTTATAGATTGTACAAAATTTTAGAATAATTTAGAACCCAAATTTGAACACAATTTTAGAACAATTTACAACCCAAATTTGAATTTGGCATGTGGTTGTTCCAAAATGGCAAGTCCCTATTAGAGTAGAATAACCAAAAAAATAAGTTTTGTGCACTGTAGTAAGCCAAAAAATAATTTTGACAAAGCCATTTTAACTTGAGCCGTGGAGGATCTAACTTGCAATTTCAGAAACGGTTGTAGGTTTGCTAAATAATTTCTAGGAAGTTTTGGGGGTGGGAGGATGGTGGTTTTGTGCCTTCTCCCTTCAGTGTTGGAGCTGAATTTGAGGGCTTTTGTATTGCCATGTCAACAAAAGGGGATGAGCTCTTTGCTTTTGATTTTGAGGGTGCCAATGGTTTACTCAAGTTTCATTGGGTAATAAGTGAGCTTTCTATTATGTTCAATCCTTTGCTTGAGCATTACGTGGGCTTTGTCACCCAGCTCGGTGATGGCCGTATGTGTTTCCTGTATGGCGGCGAGGAGGAGAAGCTCTTCCCAGGCGGGAGGTTTATTATTCGTGTAGCGGTGGTCTTTCGGGTTTTCAAAACATTTGGTGTTGGTGGCAAGCCGTTCCTCTCCGAACAAATTGAGCATCTGCAAGCATATGATTCAGAAAATTGAAATTGTGCTTATCGAGTAATCGAGTCTGTCATCATGTAAGCAAATATTTTTTCCATTGCTTCTTTTTAACACCCACCCACCCCTATATTATATGCATGACTGCCTTCCCTTTCACCTTTTTATGTTGGTTTTCCCCTTTTTATGTTGGCTTTGTATTTTCATTGTGATGATGATCCTAATGTATAGATTATTGTATGGCATTTAATTTCCTGTATGCCCCTTTCCCCCTCAATGTTAGTATTATTATGATTGGACAATTTCATTCCATATATTTGTGTGCTTAGGCGGCAAGGCGGAAATTATGTGCTACATTACATCCCTCTAGCAATTAGAGCATTATTTGGATTAGTCTGTGCCGAAGTTGGAGACCTTTTCACTCTGTTGGTTGTTACTTGTTTGATGTTACTCTTATTCTATTTTAAGTTAATGTTATAAAACTGTTTTACTTTCTCAAAAGAACTTCCAGTATTGACTGGTGTGTGTTTTGAAACTTTATTACACTATGTGTCTTGCCAAGTGGTACCCACTTTAGTCTAGCTGTGAGATCGTTATATGAAGTTAGAAGGCATGTGAAAGTTGAGGTCCTTGGGTATAATGGAAAGGAATAGAACTGTATAATATACAAGCAATTATCACTGCAACAAATTACCCTTTTGGCGACTAAACTTTTAGTCGCCAAAAGTCATATTTTAGTTGCCAAAACGTTTTGCCAACTAAACTTTTTGGGCGCCAACTTTGTCGTTAGATTATTGTCGGGGAAGGTATTGGCGACTAAAAATTATTTAGTTGCTAAAGGCCTCAATTGGTGACTAATTTTTTAGTCGTCAAAAGTTTTCAATTGGCGACTAAGAATTATTTAGTCACTGAAAATATTCAATTGGCGACTAATTTTTTAGTCGCCAAAAGTTCATAATAAATTTAACATTATATTTTTAGTGACTAAAAACTTTTGTCGCCAAAAACTTAATCATTTAGGGCGACCAAACTTTTAGTCGCTAATTTTCTTTTTTTATTCATCTTATTTCTTTTAGCTACTAAATGGTTTAGTAGCCTAAAGTATAGTTTTTGTTTAGCTACTAAAGTTTTAGTCGCCAATTAATTTTCTTTCTTTGTTTTTTTTTTTTTGGCTACTAAATCATTAGTCGCCTAAAGTCTTTTGTTTATGGCTACTACATATTTAGTCTCCAAAAGATTTGTTTCCATTTAATTCCTTTTTTAGCTACTAACTATTTAGTCACTAAAAATATTTATTCCATTTTTGGCTACCAATTGTTTAGTAGCCAAAAACATATTTTTTTGTTTTTTGTTTTTTTTTTAAAAAATTAATTTGTCCACAACCTATATGTATTCCATGCAACTTGTAACATGTATACAAACAAAACAATACATATATATATTATCACCCATTCCACAATCTACATCTATTTCACTTGCAACCATCCAAACAAAATTATAACTTTTAATGTCAACATTGCAAACAAAGTATATTCCAACTTAAAATAATAATTTCATACAAATCTATTTTAACAAATGAGCTACCAGTGACATCCATGCACTAGCTATATATAAAATCAAAAGACTTCAAAAATTCACTAGAATAAATCAAAAGGCGTTCTGCAAGAAGGGATACACCAAAGGCCTTCTATTGGTGTTGAGTAGAACCCAATAAGACGTAATAGATTCTTGTGAACAGCTACAGTTATCATCTCAACTTCACGTTGGAATGCTGCGTCTCCACCAGAACTCTCATTGTCATTTAATCATTTCACAGCCACTTTAGTATTATTTGAAAGCACTCCTTTATAAACCTTTCAGAACTCTCATAGTCATTTAATCGTTTCACAACCACTTTAGTATTATTTGAAAGCACTCCTTTATAAACCTTTCCAAAACCCCCCTTTCCAAGGACATTTTTCTTGTTAAAGTTGTCTGTAGCTAGCTGTAATTCTCGCAAAGCGAATCTTCTCAATTGGCCAAATGCAATTCTTTTGTCAACTTCACCTGAGCATACAAATAAACAGAATCCATCAGTAAATTACCAGAAAACCCAAGTCACAACAAAATCAATACCTCAATTATATATCTACCAAAGATTTAGAATTAATGAGAAAGCTAGAGGTTAATACAAATTGACAAGATAATATATCAAACACTGAAGAACTAACAAAAATATAATGCGCCAAGAAAAGGAAATTATGAACTATAAACTATGCTAATAAAATCTCAAAATTCAACTGATAACATCTCTTTGGCATTGTTTCATTAAATCCAATTTTTATATACTAATAAGTATTCTTTTCTCAAAAGAATCCAATCTACTTGTAGATATCAAAGATGCTTCACAAATTGATTAGGGAAAAATATTAAATAAACCTAACAAATAGTTGTCACAAGTCCTTTTCTGACTAAGTTTAAAGCGTATTCGGCTCTAACTCTCAATCTACGGGTCCGAATTACATTCTATCAGTTGTCACAAGTCCTATTTGTCAAGGGGAAGCTGTCCGTGAGAGTCACATGGTGGTTCGAGGGTTGTTTTGAATTTTCGCCCCCGGAATGCCTTTTTTCGACTAAGTTTAAGGCGTTTTCGGCTCAAACTCGAAGCCTACGGGTCCTAATTACATTCCAGCTGCTGTCACAGGTTGTAATTTTCATGGGGAAGCTGTCCGTAAGAGCCACACAGTTGTTCGGGGCCTATTTTGAATTTTCGCCATCGGAACGCTCTTTTCCGACTAAGTTTAAGGCATATTCAACTCTAACTCTCAACCTATGGGTCTGAATTACATTCTGTCAGTTTCGTCACAAGTGCTACTATTTGTCTACAAGGGACGCTATCCATCGAGAAGCCAACACGGGTGGTCTCGGGGCTGGTTTGATGTTCGCCCCAGATGCCTTT